AGAACGAGTCTACGTAGCAGGGACTCACATAGCAATAAAAGCTTGATAGGGTTTTAACCCTTTCCTACACTATCCAAAACTAACAAAAAAAGTTTTGCCTAGACATACACTTTAAAACATTTACTCAGGAAATTCCATTTCTAGTAGATCTGGCACCAGCCAGAGGCATAACTAGAACTGGGGGTCAGGGGGACCCTTTCATGGCCCCAGCACAAGAAACCATGAAGGGTCCCCCTGACCCCCAGAGCCCTTTACTCCTGTTACAGGACCCTTTCACATGTTCTGCAGCGGGCCCCCCTTCCTGCTATCTTGCCCCCCCCCCCCCACAGTGGCAGAATGTCAGGGCCCTGTTGCAAGTGTGACCTTCTGAACCTGGTAGTTCCACCACTGGTGTTGGTAGTTTTTTTTTTTGTTATTTTTTTTATTATTTTCTATTTTGTTTTTTATATATATATATATATATATATATATATTGCAGTTTTATTTTTATATTTTTTTTACAATTTTTTAAGAAGCCCCGCTAGAGAGAGCTTTGGTGAGATATAAGGGTTCTACACATATCTCTGATTTTCCACCTTTGAAACAGAGAAAGAAGATTAAGGACATGGCCCCCAGTCTTTATCTGTGCAGCCTCAGATGCACAGAATGAATGGACAAGAATAGCTCTGTACATATCTTCCCCTTCATTCACAAACCGAAGCATAGTAAACACAGTTTGCCATGCTTCAGTTATCATGAACAGAGGCAGTGATCTGTAGTAAGTGAGCGACTCAGAAAAGGTAGGACCCGGTAAATGACATATGGGAGGAAGAGGAGGAGACTTTCAGCGGCTGCAGGAGGAAAGTGGAGGCAGACCCCCTGGAGCTTGGTACCGGGTCCCAATTGAGACCCCTGTAGATACGCCCCTGGCACAAGCTAAGATAGGTAATGCTAAGATAGCTTTCACAGATGAGGAAAACATACACTCTGCAGGTTACGGTTCAATGCTACAAGAGATAAGTTGTCGATACTTACACAGTGTCTATTATATTCTTTATCTAAAAGGATATTAGAGAAATAAGGAAAATACTTCAGCATCAAGGGATATTTGAAGCTGAGCCCCAGGGGGAATGTAAAGGGTTAAATGCTTCTTTTTATCTATGGGGAACAATAAAAAGCAGTTTTTATTTAATAAAATCCCTTGTTCCCCCAGGAGCTAGCATTTTCCTTTTCCCTTTGACACACTGTTTTGTAGATGGCCCTTCAATATCCTCACTTACAGTTCATGACTGCTGGTGTTGTACATGGTGATGCTAGAATGCGGAGGACAAAGAACCAAAGAGAACCAGCTTTGGGGGAACAGTTGCACAGAAACTAGCAATTAAGATTTTCAGTGTGGGGCTGATCCCCACTGCAGATATAGTTTAAACATTTCCTTGGTGTTCTGCTTTAAAGTGTGTCTATACCATAAACCTTTTATTTGTTCAGGGTAGAATGGCAAAGTGTTAAACCGTCTCAAGGTTTTATGCAGAGCCTTTTTGTTAGTTTAAGATAGAGTGAAAGAGAATTAGAATCCTTGTCATTTTCTTTTTTTCGTTGTCTACATCCCCTCTGGGAAGATTCACCCTCACCACTAGTTCTGATCAGCAATGTCACCTGGGCAAAAAGTGTTGGGAAACCACATTCTTACAACTGTTAGCAGAACAGGAGGTGAGGAGAAATCTTCTAATGGAGACACATGTTAAGCCTAGTGCATATGATCAGAAACTCGGACAAAAAAATACCGCTTTTGAAGCGATTGTACGATAATCTGAATGTTAGTAAACAACTTTCGTCCACAATTATTCGAACGGACAAACACAAACTTTTTTTTGTACCATACTAGATCATACGATTTTCATTTAATCAATACAGTATTTGTCCATAAAAAAATCAGAAGAGCAAGACCACACATGCTCAGAAACTAAAGAATACATTACAATACAGTACAACACATTACATGACATCCTAACTTGCATTCTGTTATACGAGAATTTTCAGAACTTTAGTGATCTCTTAAATTTCAATATGAGACAAGCGTGCAAAAATAAAACAGATCATTCATCTGATATACTCATCGTGTGTGCCAGGCTTTGGAAACATAGGCACATAGAAGAGTGATGGCATAAAAAAGACCAAGTGGTCCATTGAGTCTGCCCCATTTTTTAATTCATATTGTTTTATATTATTTGTTTGTTTTTATTGTCCCAAACATGTTCTAAGTCTATTCCAAGAATCAAGTATTCTTTCATTAAAATAATACTTTCTAAAGTTGGTTTTAAAAACTTTCCTCTTGCAATTTTGAGGTAATGTCCCCGTGTTCTTGACCTTGGCATCCTATTGAAAATACTGCCCTCCCAAACCTTATTTACCCACTTGATGTATTTACTGTCTCCCTCTTTCCTTCTTTCTCTTGTTCAAGTGACAATTATCTAAGATGGGAAATTTGCAGCTCCAGAAAAGAAAATGAAAGGAAGTCTCCCCAACAGGATACCGACCAGTAAAAACAAACTCGCAGGGTTTTCAACTCTCTCTACTCTGTTGTCTATGTCTCACTTTGGAGAAGGTTCCTCTTACTTTCTGTTGTGTATCTGTGACAGGAAGCGAGATAAATCTCTTCAAAGTGAGCAGAAATCCATTCTTATGCAATTGTCATGGGTCAAAAACAGTGGGATGCCACCTTTTCTTGGGAAAAAATACTATACTTTTGGTCTCCTTATTCTTTAAACCTCCAGCAACAAGTACCATTTTTGCTTGCTAGGTGGCAAATCTATGGGACAGATGTCCCCACCTGAGGCTTTCCACTCATCCCTCTTTCCAATGAATTGTGGACTTCCCATAGCTTTATGCAAGCGTGTTGATGGTCACCAGGACAAACAGTATTTGTGGGTACACATACAGGAATAAAAACCTGTTTTAGCCCTTCACTACTCTATTCAAAACTAAGCAAAACATTTATGAGACTTTTGAGACTGTATGTTGTCTGAACAAGCATGCAATAAGGGCTTCTGACTTTTTGATTTGCATGCTTGGAAATTGACTCAGAAAGTATTAAAGCCACTGGATCAGCTCAACAGCCTGGCAGCTAGCAATGAAGAACTAGTGTTCCAAAATATGTCAGTAATGCAAGTGTCCGTATTTTTCTTGTGACAGGTTTAGCTCACAGGTGTCATCAGCTTTACCAGACGTTGTCTTTTTGGTCTGTTAGAATAAACATGTTGCAAAAACCAAAACGGCACATACATTTTCATACTACTCAAGTGTTTGGGCTCTTTTTCAATTTATTGGATCTGTTTCTGGAAGTAGGTCAATTTGGTTGAGCATCCAAGTTAGTTATCTTGAAAGGCACGCATGATTTTGGTGACTTTGCTTGGCTACAAGGACTGTTTAGTTGTTAATATTCAGAAACAATAAATAAAAACAGCCAAAGGTGTTTGCTGTGGATGTATCCGATCTTATCACCCATCTTGGGAAACAAATATCTAGTGTTTGTGGGGTCATTAAGGCTCCATTCACACTAGTGTGATTTCAAATGTGACCTGGGCTTTACAAAATCACATGGCAATGGTAATCACATTGTTTACAAAGGTGCCCATTAACATCAATGCAACTTATATATTCTTGTGTACATATCACTCTTAATATTTGTGTTCATATACACTTACCATTATTGTGTATTGTTCCACACCAGCTATGTTCTACATTTATGGCACTGCACCTTTAAATCCTCGCTGAATGGTGTTGTCCCACACTGACAACTCCCTCTACTTAAGCTGATATAGTTTCCAGCACTATTAGGCCAATTGAAGAAGCTAGATGTTCTGAGTGCATAGCCTGCTTGTCCCACGTCCGTGCCTCCTGATCAGACTGACCCTCCGCCTGTCCCGGTGATGGCACTTCCACCAGTACACTCCAAGCAGGTTGTAGGTCTCTTCCTGTACAGAAGATTGGCTTCACAGCACCATTACTCTACAGGACAGACCTCCATTGTGCCTTCACACATCTCCATCAGCCCAGCATACATCCCCATGCCACTGGTGGTGCCTGCAGAACGTTGAGGAATGATCATCCCTCTCACATACAGATGAGCTTGTTTTTTTTATTACTCTTGTGAGTGTTTTTTATCCTTTACCATTAAACACAGTTTTAATTACTGCACTTAAATGGGTGCCTCTTGTTTCTTTCTTTTTGTTCTTGCATACAGAGTTGGCTTTGCTCCTAGGATGGCTGCTGCTAATTTGCACTAATCTTTGGCCAGTTTGCCCCGAGAGACTTCCAAAATACTTTTCTGTTTGTTTATGGACATTATTCTTTAATCCACAGTGTTTTACATCATTGCTATTCCTTGCATCACTTTATATACATTGTTTACCTCATCTTTGTGCGCCAAAATTAGCTTCTTCCTAAGTGATTTTTGAGGGGCTGCTAGTTCCTCATCCATAAACGGCAGCTGCTACTGATCCGCAATGACTGACAGCTTTCAGGAAAAGGACAGTCCAAGATCTGCCTTTGTGCATAGGAGGGAAGTGTCCCTCTTCCATTGTTTAAGCCAAACGGGGCATCCCATAATCCCTATTTCCCATCCAAGTTGGTTTCCACTAATAACAAAATCAAGCTCATGGACTGGTCATTATCTTTGGATGCAAGTTGGTGTGAGAAATACCTGTTGTCTGGCTGTGCAGAGAGAGGCTTAGGGATACCCAAAACACAGTAACTCTCACGAGGGTAGCGCTACATACATTGTCAGGAATGGATTCAGCATTGGTGGTGGGACTCTCCTGCCGTGTGGGCTGCAGTACCAGAGCTGACCAGCGGGTGCTCTCAGCACTGGTGGTGGGACTCTCCTGCCGTGTGGGCTGCAGTACCAGAGCTGACCAGCGAGTGCTCTTAGCAGCCAGAAGCTCACAATCAGCCAAACCTGGGGCTGATTACAGAAAGGTGTATATAAGGCATGACCAGGCCTGTGCTCTGGGCCTTGGTGTATGTTTCCCCATGAGCCCCTGTATCCTGTTCCTAGTTCCTGTGAGAAGATACCTTGTTGCCGACCCTGCCTGATCCTGATTCCTGTTGACCATCTCCTGTTCTGACTACTGGCTCATCCCTGACCATCCTTCTGCCTGATCCTCTGTACTGCGCTGTCTGTCTGTGAGTTACTGAACCCGGCTTGTGACCTTGACCATTCTCTGCCTGCTCCTTTGATACCTTGCTGCCCGCACGTTGCTGACTTGGCCCGTCTGACCACGCTCACTACTCTGCCATCCATCCATCCTGCACGGATCCAGCCGTACCTGCACATACCTCTGGCGGATCCCTCTATCACTAGCAGGTGTACTCAGGGGCCGCGACCTGGTTCCTGTCTGCTCCAAGTCCATCCCCACCATCAGGGGCCCTGGTGAATAGCAGACTGGGACTTAGACTCCGCGCCCTGGGGAATCCTGCCCTGAGGACCGCTAGAGGTACCACCAGGCAGTTGTTACAGAACCCTACGGCCGGCCTGACCATTCCACCTCTCCAGCCCTGACTACGCCTGTGTTCCTGCACCTCCTAAGATTAGTGGAAGGTTAGTTTGCTCACTGTGCGTTTATATATATATATATATCTGGGTGGCTAATAATAACCTGTATTATACTATACCTGAAACCTGCGTTTCCCTGTGTCAGTCCACACCTTTCTGGTCATTCCTTGATTCCTGACATCACACCAAGGCCCTTCCTGACCAGAAGTGGCTGCACAGGGAAGCCATCTTGACTTGTTGTGAAGGATGCATCCTGATGAGGTTATATATTTGTCTATGCTAGTCCTTGATGACAGGGAATGTGCCTATCAGACTCTGCGCGAGTATACCAGGGATCAGCTGCTAGAGTGCATACGGGTCGCTCATTCCCTAGTAGGTCAGGACCTAGAGCTCTCTGAGGTGCAACCATTGATTCAGGCTTGTATTGAGTTGGCTTCATCTAGTACCCCTGAAAACAGGGATGAATTTCTTCCTCCATTCAGGGCGAGTCAAGTAATATCACTGGTATGGTTGTTGGAGGATGATCCGGATTGCTTCTTGGAGCATTATTCAGCATATTCACCACAGGTGCTACAGAAGTGTATAAACGCAGTGCAAACTTTGATCAGACAGGCCTTGTGTAAGCTGAGCGTTGTCCAACCCTTACTGCAGACATGGTCAGACTTGTTACACCTAGCCTCAATCAGCTTGCAACAAACCAGTCCTGCTTCTCATCATTCCTCTGCTCAAAGCTCTTTTCCTGCATTCCCGACAACACCCCCAGTGACAGCCCCCCCAGTGACAGCCCAGTATACCCAGCAATCTACCACATGTCAGTACCCTGCTCCCACTCACTGTACCATCGTACCAGTTGACTCGGTGCCCGCTGTCGAGCCAGATGACTTGATGCCTGATGATTCGGTGCCTGCTGTCGTACCAGTTGACTTGGTGCCAGTTGACTCGGTGCCCGCTGTCGTGCCAGTTGACTCGGTGCCCGCTGTCGTGCCAGTTGACTCGGTGCCCGCTGTCGTGCCAGTTGACTCGGTGCCAGTTGACTCGGTGCCCGCTGTCGTACCAGTTGACTCGGTGCCCGCTGTCGTACCAGTTGACTCGGTGCCAGTTGACTCGGTGCCCGCTGTCGTACCAGTTGACTCGGTGCCAGTTGACTCGGTGCCCGCTGTCGTACCAGTTGACTCGGTGCCAGTTGACTCGGTGCCCGCTGTCGTACCAGTTGACTCTGTGCCCGCTGTCGTACCAGTTGACTCGGTGCCCGCTGACTCGGTGCCCGCTGTCGTACCAGTTGACTCGGTGCCAGTTGACTCGGTGCCTGCTGTCGAGCCAGATGACTCGATACCTGATGACTCGGTGCCCGCTGTCATGCCAGTTGACTCGGTGCCCGCTGTCGAGCCAGATGACCTGATGCCCGAGGACCCAGTGCCCGCTGTTGAGCCACATAACCTGATACCTGATGACTTGGTGCCCGCTGTCGTGCCAGTTAATTTGGTGCCTGCTGTCGAGCTTGGTGACCCGATACCCGCGGTTCTGCTAGAAGGCTTGGTGCCCGCTGACGTGCCCGGTGACTCTGTGCCTGCTGTCGTGCCAGATGACTCGGTGCCCGCTGACGTGCCTCTGCCCGCTACACAGCCCGACATGCAGCCCCTGATGTCCAGTTAAAACTGGCCGATAACTGATACCCAGCCTGCTCCTGGAAATCCTGTGCCCAGTGACCTGCCTTCCTTGGTTCTCCTACACAAAGAGAAGTCTACCAGCAGGAAACCCAGCCAGCCGGTTTACTGCGGCAGTAGGATATTCAGCCAGTTACCGGACCCGGGCGGTGGAACATTTTGCCCACTAAGGACTGTTTGGAGCGTCCTGAGGCCGCTCCTTGAGGGGGGGTTCTGTCAGGAATGGATTCAGCATTGGTGGTGGGACTCTCCTGCCGTGTGGGCTGCAGTACCAGAGCTGACCAGCGGGTGCTCTCAGCACTGGTGGTGGGACTCTCCTGCCGTGTGGGCTGCAGTACCAGAGCTGACCAGCGAGTGCTCTTAGCAGCCAGAAGCTCACAATCAGCCAAACCTGGGGCTGATTACAGAAAGGTGTATATAAGGCATGACCAGGCCTGTGCTCTGGGCCTTGGTGTATGTTTCCCCATGAGCCCCTGTATCCTGTTCCTAGTTCCTGTGAGAAGATACCTTGTTGCCGACCCTGCCTGATCCTGATTCCTGTTGACCATCTCCTGTTCTGACTACTGGCTCATCCCTGACCATCCTTCTGCCTGATCCTCTGTACTGCGCTGTCTGTGAGTTACTGAACCCGGCTTGTGACCTTGACCATTCTCTGCCTGCTCCTTTGATACCTTGCTGCCCGCACGTTGCTGACTTGGCCCGTCTGACCACGCTCACTACTCTGCCATCCATCCATCCTGCACGGATCCAGCCGTACCTGCACATACCTCTGGCGGATCCCTCTATCACTAGCAGGTGTACTCAGGGGCCGCGACCTGGTTCCTGTCTGCTCCAAGTCCATCCCCACCATCAGGGGCCCTGGTGAATAGCAGACTGGGACTTAGACTCCGCGCCCTGGGGAATCCTGCCCTGAGGACCGCTAGAGGTACCACCAGGCAGTTGTTACAGAACCCTACGGCCGGCCTGACCATTCCACCTCTCCAGCCCTGACTACGCCTGTGTTCCTGCACCTCCTAAGATTAGTGGAAGGTTAGTTTGCTCACTGTGCGTTTATATATATATATCTGGGTGGCTAATAATAACCTGTATTATACTATACCTGAAACCTGCGTTTCCCTGTGTCAGTCCACACCTTTCTGGTCATTCCTTGATTCCTGACATACATTTTGGAATGCTGTTTTACCTAAGAAAGGACAGATTTGAGTCACCATTATTACACTTTTTACTCACCTATGGATGGCACTGTGACCTTCACATGCCTGCAGATCCATGCCCTTCTTGGCTTTGGACTTGCTAGTGTTAGCAGTTTTGCTGGATATCTGCTGAAAGAAAATTATATTTTGTATTGTTCAGTATACAAGAAAAAATCAATAATAACATATTCAAAATGTACTGATAACTAAACTTCCTAAGCTCATCAACCATTAAAAGCATATTTAAACCATGGTGGTGCATAATATGACACTCTTACTTCTGGCTGTAATCCAAGCTCCCCACAGCATCCATTCAAGACTATGCCATGGTTTTTTCCTGATGATGTATCTCCTGCACAACTTGCTAGTATTACATTAGCTTAGCACCCAGCTCCATTCCCAGCATCTGTAAGGTGCCAGGAATGGGCCAGGACTGAACACTGTACTGAGCAAGTGCTGAAGTCAATGTGCATATTTAAAAAAATTGCTAGAAGGTAAGTAAAGAAGTTTTTTTTGTAAGAAGAGACTGATAAATTCTCATCTATCAAAAGACAATACTTGCTGACAAATTTTACTTTTAAAGGTTTACTTCCACATTCAACTATTTTGTTCATACATATAATAATCTGTAGCAGATATAAGAAGCGCCACAGAAAATGCAAAATAAATCAAATAATAAGCAGCACCTCTAACCAAAAAAGGTAAAATAGTGTACAAATAAAAAGTGCGCTAATTATTCACAAAACATGCAAGGATAAATAATAAAAATAAATGAATTCATAATTATAAACATAAGTCCAGCCACCATAACAGTGATAGTCCAATATCAACTTAATGTCAATCTTGAAAACAAACACCCATGTGCAAACAGCCGACAGCTGGGAGGAACGTTCCAACATCACATCCACTAGGCCAGGTCCAACATGTTTCGTCACTTGACGTCTTTAAGGGGCGTCTTTACTTGCAGACGTCAAGTGATGAAACGCGTTGGGCCTGGCCTAGTGGATGTGACGTTGGAACGTTCCTCCCAGCTGTCGGCTGTTTGATCGCAGTGCAGGAGGTTCGTCCCTTGGTTTTTCCCTTGTGGATGTGGCATTTTAGAGGCTGTCATTGCTGGTGTCAGCTAGACACCTTCTTTGTGTGAGTGCAATACTTTATTAATAAAATTTTACTGGTTTTAAACGTACTGCACCATCATATCTCTTCTTATTCCTCGAGCTTTGCCCATGTTATTGGAAGATCATTTGCTGCTTAGCTGTTCCATATGTGCTGCCTAGCTGTTCCATATGTGCTGTTTGGATCACTATTGGTTGCTGTTCCTCTACTTGGATATCCTGCAGATCATTGCTCCCAAAGCAAAATGCTATCATGCTGGTTTATAATATAATCAGCATATAGCTCTGGTGAGTGTATTCATTTCATCTGGTGTAGGATTTGCACATGGGTGTTTGTTTTCAAGATTGACATTAAGTTGATATTGGACTATCACTGTTATGGTGGCTGGACTTATGTTTATAATTATGAATTCATTTATTTTTATTATTTATCCTTGCATGTTTTGTGAATAATTAGCGCACTTTTTATTTGTACAATATAATAATCTGTCAGGGCTCCCGGGTATGACCAGAGGTGTGTGACTGACGCAGGGAAACGCAGACTTCAGATATGTTATAAACAATATAATTTATTAACACTAACAATACAAACATAAACGCAGTGCAATACTAAAACATAACACAGTGCAAACAAACCAAACCAACCACCCACAGATGACAGTACATACAATGCAAGCGTCGTCAGGCAGGCCGGGTCAATATCAATCGGGCAGGTAGGTACAGGGGGAGCAAGCGGAGAGAATGGTCGGGGTCACAAGCCAGGTTCAGCAGGTAGCGGGCAGCGTGGTACAGAGGGTCAGGCAGAGGGATGGTCAGGAACGAGCCGGGGTCAGAGCAGGAGAAGTCAGCAGAGGTCCAGATCAGGCAGGGTCAGCAACAAGACAGGAACAGGAACAGGATGCAGGAACAAGA